GTTAATGGACATTTGGATCATTTTCATTTTTGGCTATTAGGAATAATGATATAAACATTCTTGTACAAGTCTTTATGTGAGCATATGTTTTCATTTCTCTTGAATAGTTACTTGGAAATGGAATTGCTGAGTCATATGATAAGTCTGTGTTTTAACTCTTAGAAACTGCCAAACTGTTTTTCAAAGTGATGGCACTGTTTTATATTCCAGGAACAATGCATGAGGGTTCTGTTTCTCCACATTCTGGCCAGTACCTGTTATTGTCAGTCTTTTTATTACAACCATTCTGATAAATGTGTAGTGTAACCTCACTGTGGTGTTAATTTGCATCTCTCCGGTGACTTATGAAGTTGAGCAACTTTTCATATGATTATTAGTCATTCGTGTATCTTCTTTTGTCAAATGTCTATTCATATATTTTGCCCTAGTTTTAATTTGATAATTTATCTTTTTACTGAGTTACAAGATTTTATATATTCTGGACACAGGTTTTTTTATTCATATGTATGATATGCAAAGATTTCCTCCCATTGTATGTCTTGTCTGTTTGTTTTCTTAATGGTGTCTGTTGAAGAGCAAACATTCTTAATGAATTTTTATCCTTTATTTTTTTCTTGTATGGATTCTGCTTTTGAATCCAGGGTCACATAGATTTTCTCTTCTTGAATGTGTTCTGCAGACCATATCTGGCCCACAGCTTGTTATTGTAATGTTTTATCGGAACATAGTCACACCCATTCATTTACCTAATGACTATGGCTGCTTTCTCTTTACAATGACAGTTGAGTAGTTTCTACAGATATTGTATGGCCCAGAAAACCTACAGTATGGCCCATTTCAAAAGATGTTTGCTGAACCCAGTTCTAGATGTGTTAACCGTTTTAGATTATAGTTGTGGCTATTAACCAGTTTGTGTATGGTATGAGGTAAAGGTCTGAGTTCACTTTTTTCCTATGGATATGCAATTATCCCAGTACCATTTGTTGAAAAGTCTATCCTGTAAGTAATGAGTCATTTTCTTTTTGCTGCTTTCAAGATTTTCTCTTTGTCTTTGATTTTCATCAGTTTCATTATGGTGTACCTAGGTTGGGAATCTCTTTAGTTTCATTATGGTGTACCTAGGTTGGGAATCTGTTTAGCTTTTTTTGATCTGAAGATTAATGTTTTTTATGAAATTTGGAAAGTTTTCAGCCATTATTTTTTTCTAATACTTTTACTGTAACTTTTCTGGGATTCCCATTGTGTGCATCCTCGTATGTTTGATATTGTATATATTAAGCATAGTTTCCTTTATTTCTTTGAACATATTTTTAATAACTTTTAAAATCTTTGTCTGCTAAATCTAATATCCGGTCCCATTTGGATACAGCTTCTACTTCCACTCCCACCCCCACCCTACCCCCAAGAGTGGGTCACAGGTTCCTTTTTCTTTGGCTCACAGTTTTTTTCTTGAAACTGGACTTTTTACATACTGGGTTGGCCAAAAAGTTTGTTTGTGTTTTTCCATAAGATCTTACAGAAAAACCGGAATGAACTTTTTAGCCAATCCAATAGTATATTATAGCAACTTTATTCTTTTTTTTTAAACTTTTTATTTTATATTATAGTCAATTAACAATGTTGTGATAGTTTCAGGTGTACAGCAGAGTGATTCAGTTACACATATACATGTATCTATTCTTTTTCAAATACTTTTCCCATCTAGGTTGTTACATAATATTGAGCAGAGTTCCCTGTGCTATACAGTAGGTCCTTGTTGGTTATCCATTTTAAATATAGCAGTGTGTAATGTCAGTCCCAAACTCCCTAACTCTCCCTCCCCTCTACCCTTCCCGCCTGGTAATCATAAGTTTGTTCTCTAAGTCTGTGAATCTGTTTCTGTTTTGTAAATAAGTTCATTTGTACCTTTTTTTTTGGCGGTACGAGGGCCTCTCACTGTTGTGGCCTCTCCCGTTGCGGAGCACAGGCTCCGGACACGCAGGCTCAGCGGCCATGGCTCGCGGGCCCAGCCGCTCTGTGGCATGTGGGATCTTCCCGGACCGGGGCACGAACCCGTGTCCCCTGCATTGGCAGGCGGACTCTCAACCACTGCATCACCAGGGAAGCCCCCATTAATTTTTTTAAAAGTAACTTTCATGGACTCTGTGTGGAATTTGTCTCTCTCACAGTATTTGGCTACTGATGTATCTCCTTTGCTTTTAAAAAATTCTTATTTATATTTTTTACCCTGGCTTTCTAGAGTTCACCCCTGTATCTGCACTGCTTAGTGTTTAGCTACTGTTTGTTTGGAGGTTGTGCTTAAACATGTTGAGCCTGTATACCTTTCACCCTCTGCTGCTGGATTGTGTATGTTTTGGGGAGCACATATGAAATTTTCAAGTTTGCCTCCTTTGCTTTCTGTTGGATCTTCTCTGGTCTCCCTGTGCATGTGTGGAGGTTTCCAGTCAGCCAGGGATGTGTAAGAGCTTGTTGTCTCTCAGGTCTCCACTTACCCTTGTGCTTGCTCTCATCCTCCCAATTACCTGGCATTTGGCGAGAGCTTAGGGCCTTATGGACCTCCCCTGCACACATGTGCTGCCTCCTGTTCAGCCAGGTCACTATCAGGGCATCTCTTCAGAATATATGAATTTATTCAGTCCTTATATGGGTCTCTCTTTTCCCAGACCTCCCTGTTAGATTTCTAGGTAGTCCTCAGGTTTGTGGCTTGCCTCAAATGATATGGTAATTTCAGGCAACAAAAGCTGCAGGATTTTCTGTTTCCTGCTGGGTGTGGGTATTCTTCTCTCTACTCCAAATCAAAGTCAGCTTCCTTCAGCGGTGAAGCTGCTGGTTTTCACAGGCAATCTCACCTTGCTTTCACCATAATGTTGGTGGAGCAGGGAAGGGAGATAGAGTCAGTTCCTGGTAAGATGCCAGACTTCCACTGTTCTTCCCAAGAAATCAGTTTATTTTTCATGAATAAACTCTTCTCACTGTGTTTTTCACCCTTGGTTGATTTCCAGAGCACAAAATGGTTGGTTTTTTTGACAGCTTTATCCAGTTTTATAATTGTTATTTGAGGGCGAGATTTTATACTCCTTCACTAGGGAAGTCCAACTTCACAACTTGGATTCTAAAACCTAGGAATATTACATTTCAAAGCCAAATGCTCTTTTCTCTAAGTCATGCTTTGTGGGGATAGAGAACAACAAGCAATTTTTAAAAAGAGAAATAATAAAGAGGTGGATGGATGAATCTTGATTCAGAGCTTAGATTTCTAAGTAGTATTAGACTTTTACCTCTGTGTAGATAGTTCAGACAGGTTAATTGAATAGTTTGGTGACTGTTATGGAGAGGAGACGTGTTTGCTCAGAGTGAAGCAACTATTGTTGACAAAGTACTTTTCTTGTAGTATTCCTTACTTCGTAACAGTTTTATGAAAAGGGTATTGTAATTATGATCATTTTACAAATAATATAAATTTTTAGGTTGGTAACTTACCTATATGCTCTCAACATTTATTTGTATGTGATAGATAGTACTTGAGTCCATTTCTTCTGACTTCTTGTTTTTTATACTCTATGTAACTGCTTCCCTACTATGTCATAATTACTTGCAGACTCTTTAATGATCTTAGTGTATTTATTTGTATAGGTAGTACTTGAAGTTAGAACAATTCATAACAATCTTCTTGAATTTTTACTAGCGCTCAAATTCTTTTCTTTCATATGATAATCACTCTTAACTTACTGAAGAGCCCCTATTCGTTCATGCAGTTGTTAAGCAAAGTGGTAAGAATCAGAGAAAGAGATATCCCATGGCAGCTTCCTCTGCCAGCTTCCTCTTTTTTTCTTACTCCATAGATGCAGATTCTGCCCAAGAAGCCCCTGCATTGCAGAGGGACTGGAGATCTGTATGATCTGTTTATTTCGCAATTGACAAGGGTAAGGGGGCCTTTTTGGGGGAGGCGCTTGGGTGCCCTGAATTTAGCTTTATGAAGCTGAGCTAACATTTATTTTGGTAATACTTAAACCTAGTATTTTTACAGACCCTTTTATGAATTCTGTTTGTCCTACATCAATTAAGTGCCGATTATATTAAAAGGCATTTATTACAATGATTTTTTAAAAAGTCCTGTTTAGAACAAGTCAGACAAACATGATTCATGCTTCTAAAATTCCAAACCTGGGATCCTTTAGAATATAAATAATATTGAATATATGTAAACAAAATTTCACTACAATGAAAAATTTAAAAGGTCTGTTTCTGTAGCCCGTCACAGTTATTCTTAATTAATCTGCTCTGTTCCTTTTCCATAAATCTTTCAATCTATAGAGTGAAAAAGGGACTTGTGGATATGCCATAAACATTGTGGATGGGCGTGGCGTCTTTTTCTTGTTGCTAGAAATTAATACCTATTTCCTTGAATTCTATGTCCACCCTAGATGCCAGTGAAATTTGAGGTGTATCTTCAGACTGTCCTGTATCTGTTTATTAGTATAGGAGTAAGGTGCATTTGGTGAATCTTACGGGAGCCAAGATAAGTTTTGTAGGTCTCACTTGACAGGTTTATAGAACAAGTGCCAGAAATGGTGGTATTTATAATCGGATAGAATTAAAATAAGTGAGGAAGAATTTAATACTCTTAAAATTACAGAAGCATTGGGCAGAGATGATTGTAGCTTTTATGGGTAGTTGAGAAGACTTGACTTGGTGATGGTTTGATGGGCTTATTTTTATATTCGAGGATATTATTAGTAGTAAAATAGCTTTGTTTACCTAAAGAAGTATTGTACATTTCTGTAATTTAAATAGATATTTTTAGTATTCTGTACCTCATATTTTTAAATGGTTTTCTTTAGACATTTATAGATTTTAAGAATTCAGCAATATTATGTATATTATCCATTCCACTATTAATAAATGTTCCACTTTTTAGTGCCAACACATTGGAAAACTATTTTTATTCTTATATTTCTTAAATGACTTTTTTTTTTTTCCTGTTTTCTGTTTTCTTTAAGCCATAAGGATGAGTTTACCATTATTCCTGTATTGGTTGGAGCTCTGAGTGAGTCAAAAGAACAGGAATTCGGAAAACTCTTCAGTAAATATCTAGCGGATCCTAGTAATCTCTTTGTGGTTTCTTCTGATTTCTGCCATTGGGGTAAGTTCTAGATTTTAACATTTCATGGTAGATATTATGTACTTGTGGTTAAAGGTATCTTTTCATTCTAAGCTCTGATTTTCAGTTCTTTTTCACTTTCTGTGGAAAGTTTTACTTTTAGCAACAGTGTTTAAAGGTGAATAAAAAAATGTCTTTTGGTCATTTAAAAAGGATGAGATTGTAATAGGGGATTATGGATACATTTCCAAAGGCGACTGGTATAATTGGATTCACACTGTGAGGTCATCCTTGCTTAGACACTTAGGTTAGTGGGAGTTAAGATTTTTTAACCCCATTTCCAGGTAGAGTTGTGTGATAGATTCTCTGAAGTTAAATTTTTGGTAGATAAAACAAGTGTTCTTTAGACCGTAGAAGAGCACTGTGTGCTATGCAAGTCCTTTTCCACATTTCCTTTTTTGTAATTAGTCTTTTCTTCTTTCTTTTTTTTTCCTTTGGTGCTTAATTTTTGCCCATAGTTGCCATCAGTTTAGAACTACCCTCCAAAGGTTGTAACATGTTAGCTATTAGCACTGTGGTCTAAATTGGTAATGATTCATAAGGGTAAGGACTTCTAAGAGATTTTTGTTATTATTGTGAATTTAAAGAATAAGGAAGCTTCACAGTGAATAGATCATAAAGGAAGTGAGACATTTATGGATGCCTTGTTTAGTAAATTTGTGTTTTGAATTCTTTGGATACAATTTTTTCTCATTTATCCATTACTGTTGTAGAATATTTCTGAATCCCATTCCTTTTAGGACATCTCTTTGACTCATTTATTTTAATGGTTTAAGGATGCCATTATCTGTTCATTCTTTAGTTATTTCTTTGATTATAGTAAAGACATAAGGCACAACACCATAAATTTTCAGATACAGAATGGCCAGAAAAACATCCTTAATGAGATATAGGGAGCCCTGGCTTTTACATGTCTTATCATTGATTGCTGGAATTTATTCAACATTTATCAGGCCTGGATAGGCTGGTTTCTTCTTCTCTTACCTCATGCTGCACTATGCATGGCCTTGAGATTTCCGTTCAAGAGACCCATCCTCCCTAATGGTCTAGATAAGTATTTCTGTTTAAGGCACTGATTTCTGAGCTGGGGCTGACTGTCCCCCAGGAGACATTTGGAAATGCCTAGAGACATTTTTGGTCATCACAGCTGGGGTGGGGAAGGAGGTGGGGATGCTGTTGGCATCTAAGGAGTAGAGTCCAGGAAAGCTGTTAAATAAACATCCTACAATGCATAGGACAGCCCCCCACATCAAAGCATTATCCTGCCCCAAATGTTGATAGTGCTCAGGTTGGAAGCCCTGGATTGGGGTATGCATGTAGCTCTGGTACCTTGTCAAACTCATTAAGAGGCTCTCAGCGTTCTTTAGTAATGAATTCTATTTGCTAGTTGGTTTGCTACCTTTGGCAGAAGTTATTTTTTATGGATATGAGTATATTACTTAGATCTGAGTAGGTAGATGCTTGAAAGAGTTCTTTTCTTGGGAACTTTGAAGTTTAGTAATAAAACTAGGGAGTATCATTATTGAAAAAAAGGCTATTTTACTTAGTGTTATGAATTTGTGTTGATAATAAAGCGTGTTTTAGAAATTAAAAGTTCCTGAAACATGTGTCCCCTCCCTCTTCACTTTTAATTAAGGCTCTTATGAATCATTTAAAATCACTTTTATGATTTTTGAATAATTCGCTCCCCTGATACTGTTCTTCAGGGCCCTCCCTCAAGTTTGGCAGCACGTACAACCACAGCATTAATCCACATAAAACATGAGTAGATGTTTTAATATTGCTCTTTTATGTGGACTCATCCTTTTTACCTCATTGATGATTATAAAGCAAATCCTAAGCCACTACTATATTTAAGTAGAATGTTGAGAGAGAAAGATGAATTTTGTCTTATATTCTGTCTAGGTCCTCAGAAAATTATTTAGGCCATTTGATCTCCTGATTTCTTGAAAATTTTGGAATTTAAATTGCAAGATAGAATTTTTTGGTGATAATTACAAAAAAGAACTCAAAATTTCCAGAGGTTGATAAATGTTAGCTATGGGAATCATCTAGAGACTAAAACATATTTATATTTACATTTGGTGATTAAGTAATGGAACTTTTTCAAGTGTTTAGGAAATCTGATGGAGGTTTGGGAGTAAGTGGAAAGAGTTACATGGACACTATTCCAAAATTGGTAGACTTCTTTCTACAATAGTAATAGTAACTGTCATTCTTGTAAAATAAGCTTCATTTTCTATTTTATATGCCTGTTGAAATAATATGAATCATTGGCTAGTTATGGGTTAAACTGTGCTTACTTAGAAATTGTTTCATATTTTTCAAATTCATGCTTTAGTGGCATTGGTCATCTTTCCTAAATTAATGAGGGGTATATTTCCATCTCAAAAGTCTAGCTTTTTCTCATGACAATAATACTTAGTAGTTTCTTCTTCTTGTTTTAAAGATGCTGTGCAGATTGATCTTACCATACTAAATAATGATGACACTGAATTCTAAGTCTTTTCACAGGAAGGATTCATTTCCTCAAGTACTCAGAGATCTTAGAAGTTTCATTGAGTTAGGCTCTTAACACACTCCACATTCCTGAATAGCTGGTTTTTGAAGAAAAATCACTTAATTGATTATGGTACAGTTGATCAATTACTCACATATATACAGTGGAATTTTTTTGTTTTTGTTGAATAATAGAGTACTGGCAGTGACGACATCTTTCATCTCTAGTGGTCATTTCTCTTTATATAATATAATGTCCAGCTTCTGTGGAAAATAAAATGAGAAACTTGATGATAGAGACAGTTAGGAGACCTATATGTGTGTAACTGGAAGGATTTTGCCTTTGTCAGCCTTATTTGTTAGCCAATGTCCATTATAAGAATGACTTTTTTTTTAAGGGTATTTTGCTTTAAAGATGTTCATCTTTCAGATACCATTTAGCTCTTATTTAGACTTGAAAGAGATATTAGAGAAAAAATAGAAAGATTAAAATACTCTCAATTTTTCTTTTTGGGTGAGAGAAGCAAAGGGACAGTTGGGAACCTAGATTCTATTGTGCCCTGTCTTTCTATCCCCTCACTTGAATCACCCCGCCAACCCCTGCGTTTCAATTCCTGCGTTTTATTTGATCATTAGGGAGTCCAATAGGATGATGTTTCCCTGGTAATGTTTTAATGATCCCACCTCTTTTCACCTTTCCTACTACTATCAGGAAGAGTGGCATACATTTGCTGCTAGTATTTGACTTTTACCATGGTGGAGTAATGTTGTCCCCATACTTTGTGTACTTACCAAGTTCCACATCCTAGAGGATGGCTCCATGTAAGAGGATTTTGTCTGGGCCTATTTTAGTTTTTCTAGTTAGTAGAATTTTTGTTCTATTTTCCTGAGTTTCATTTTTGCCCTTTTCCATATATACTGTTAATATTTGTGTTTTACTGATCACCCTGAACTTTATACTTCCAAATTTAGATTACTGACAACTTTCATTAACATAAATTTCAGTTAACTTCAAAGAAGTTTCTGAATGAAACTGGACCTAACAGAAATTGATTCTTTAAAAGTGGGTTCATGCTTCTATTTAATTTTCCTTTTAAATGGTAGTTTTAAATCAGTTCAAATTAGTTTAAATAAATTTATTTGGTAGATGTTAATGATAAATTATATTATTTTGTTAAAATGTGAATAGAGTTTACACTACAGTCACTTCAGCAGTTTTGGATTTTTATCTATAAACTTATATTTGTCTAGGTTTACGTAATTTCTTTTTTATAAATATGTGCCACTTATTAAAATTGGCATTCTCCTTCAATGTTTATGAAATTTATATCTTTATTCAGATTTCTAGTTTAATATATATTAACACGTGATTATTCATGCATACTCTTCTTCCTTTCTGTTGTTAGTCTCTTGGGTCTGAGGGTATTACTATTTTCTAAATATTTAAATTGGTTTGAGTGCAAGTTAGCTAATTCCTGAAATATATCTTATTCAGGCTTTCACATTTGTCTTCTCAAATATTGGTACATACTGATTTCACATATTTAGGGTTTTAATCTTTTACAAGTTTGAGATAAAGCCAATAATTTTACATTATAACTAAGACTTCAGAATGAAAGGACTATAGTATTTTGCTTATAAAAATGATTACCTTATTTGAGATACTTAGATAATATTTTCTTTGTGAAGTACATTTTTTCTTTGGTAGTGATGTCAATTATGAGTGTCCCCAGTTTAGGTCCTTAGTGTACTGTGGTTTAATAGTCTATCTCACAGGTTGTGAGGTTTAACTCAAATATTTGAAAACGTTTTAACATATAAACATAAAGTGATTAAGTAAATGTATAACAGTACAGTTTTTACTGGACATAAGTCTGGTAGTCTGTCTTACTGACTGATCTTTTGGGGGCTTTATTGAACAACTTTCCAAGCTCATGTTTATTTCTGCAATCTAGTGTATAGCTTAATGTTGAGGTATTTAATATTTTTTTTACTTTTTGTTTTGAGGTAATTCAAAAGTAGTGTTGGTTCTTGTACCATTCATTGTTATGTTTGTCCTCATTAGTTGATTGTTGTGTGTTAAACAGACATCCCTGGAGCTTATTCTCCACACTCTGTGAATCCACTCATTAATCACCAGTCACCTTTGGAGATGGGAAAATTACTTACCTGTATTTCTTTTTCTCAGAAAGCGTGCTCTGGAATGGATTCACAAATGAGCTACCCTCCTTCCCTCAAAGAGTAAGGTTTCTGCTTTACAGGATTTTTTTCTTGGGTTATTTTTCCTCTCATCTTTTGAATTTGAAAAGAACTGAGGGAAGGCACCTGAAGAAACTACTGACATACTCACTAGGGGAGTTCCAAAGCTTGTGCTGCCCCTAGGGGCAGTGTCAATGGCTCTTAAAGCTAGAAAGCTCATACTTGGAGTTGAAACAGGGGCTCAAAGAATCCATTTTCCCAGTGTACCTTCTGAAAGGATAAGTTTCAGGTAAGTAATTTTCTCTTACTATGTGATATGCTTTATTCATACTTACATAAAAGTTCACAAGTCCAGTTCTCCAGGCACATAGGCAACTATATTTGTTCAGTTTAGGTGAATAAACTTAACTGAATGTTAGAAATATTGTAAAACAAAACTCATGAGGTACATGAAATCATAATATATTTTAAATGAACAATAAATACTTAAAATTGCATTTATGATCAGTGTATTGCACTAGGGTTGTCTTTTTAAATTTCTTGTTAAATAAAATTTTGACAAACTTTATTTTTTAATAATTAGAAACAAAAAAAATCTTTTGAACTCAAATTCCAAGTGGTATTTAACTGAACTTGTATGTGTGTGTACTCATGTGCACACACACATATATTCATACATATGTATGTATATACATTTAGGCTAGGATGATGGCAACTATTTACTTCAAATTAGATGCTTTCTTTAAGTATATTGACCAGAATGTAGTAATTTTGAAAAGTAATTTTGAAATGTTTGTATAATTAAAAACAATGATCGTAAGACAATTTGAGCTATCATAAGTAGGATACTTTTTTCAGTGTAGTAGCTTAGTAGTGTAAATTTAGCTTCTTAACTGAGAAATCCTTTAACCCTTATCAAATATTTCTACTCAGTTCTTCAGCTACTAAATGGGAGGTGGCTACTAAAGAGTAGCAAAAAGTAGATAGCAAAATATTAAACATTTGCTCATTGATTTTCTGTGTATATTTTCATTCTTATTAAATCACATGTTGATTTAGTATTTTAACTTACTTTAAACATTCTATGTACTTCTCTCTTACTTCAGAAGTAGTTTTTAAGTGAAAGTTACATTGAAAATGGTCCATATGAACAAGACCAAGTTTTAAAATATAGTTACACTTTTGACTCATGATTAAGGCAGGTTTGACCAACTTCAGCATTTGAAACAGCGACTCTGAACTTGGAAATAAATAGAAAGGACTTTCGAATAGTAAATGTCACAAAGTACATGCATTTTTCTTTGCACCTGAGAGTAGCAGTCTTGAGATAAGACAATTATGTCCCAGTCACAGGGATTATTAACTAAAACTGACATTTATCACCAGAAGCAAGAAAAAGAGAATGTGTTAGTATAAACCTGAAGCAGCTCATGTTCAAAGAATATTCATCTTGATTTCATCCAAGGATATTACTCTTATTACAGTGACAGTGAGTTAGAATTTTCTTGTCTAAGATTATTCTTTTAATTGTTTATTCATTTCACAGAAGATTTGGGGCAGCTTCATCAAAAGAACTTTGAAACAGAAGTAGAAATTTAGTACCAATGAATTGAATCACTAAGTTATTATGACAGACATTATATTTGGCTTTGAATCTTCTGACAGCCAGCTGGCAAATAGGAAAAATAGGGTGAATTATATAGTTCCTGTTGTTAGCTAGTAGGAAGTACATATATTCTTTAAAGAAAAACAAAGCTATACTTAACTCTAAATTTTGTAAGAAATGTCTGATGAATTATTTAATATAGGGGTACTCAGTGATAGAATTGTCACTGTTTAAGAATTTTTTTAGTGCAAGGACTGTAATGAATCTGATAGTTATAGCAACATGCAGTAATCTCCAATGTTTATCAGAAAAGGTTGTTATATTCAGAATGTAGGTAATTGTCTCAGAACCCTATTGCTTGATTATAGGATATCATGAATTTTAAGATGAAATATTTATTTAATAGTGGCGCTGGGCAGGGGGTGCAGGGAAATAAGAACTGCCACATTGAGTAGCTGTGCATGTTAATGTATGTGAAAAGTTAATATGTGAAAGTTAAGGAAATATGGTATATTGTAGAAAGGTGACCATCAGAGATGATTAGCATCAACAAGTTAATGAAATGTTAAGAATTGTGATGTGTAGTTTCTCTAAAAAAGGACATCAAAAGGGTGTTATAATTTTACATGGCTCATTATTTTTAAGGTGATTTTTTTAGTGAGATAAACAGAAAACTTAAAAATCATAATTATCCAGCCAAAGAAACCCACCTCCTCAGATGGGAGGATAATAATTGGATATGTGAACTTCGCTGTAAAATTGAAGCACAAGATGCATAGTATGTGTGTGTATGATTAGTGTACTCTAATACCTTCAAAATTGCATTTTGGTGAATCTTTAAAAATAAAGAATATAAAAGTAATGAGTTCTTGGAAATAAAGGCATTGCTGAAAAATAGGTTTAGATATATCTGAAATACAACATAATCAGTTGAATAATAATATGTAATTAATTATGAATATGTTTAACTTTTGGCTTTTCTTTGACTATAGTAGGAAGCAAAATTTATTTCCTGAGCCTTTTGTTTTCTACCTTCTTTTTAAACTTCTTCCATTTTACCCTCTCTGTTCTTTGGAGAATAGCTAAACATTGAATGTCCTGTGCTTGTACCTTTGTTGAGATTTTATTGTCAGAGTAGGACTATTTGTTATATTTATACTTCTGTGTATCCTCCTTAAAGGCACTTGTATTGATCCTTTTCCAAGTAGAAAATTTTGCAAAAATGAGATAAATTTTTAAAATCTAGGTCATAAAAATTACACAAGCCACATATATCTCTGACCTACTTTTTTTCTTTCTTTTCTGTAGTAGAGATTAAATCTTTGCATTTGTACAACAAAAGCTAAGCTTTCATTGATTTGTTAAATTGAGATAGTTTCCTTAAGCCAAATTTTCTGGAATCATACTCTTGGCGTTTACTTTCCATTATAGACCGATATAATATGTTTAACAATGCTTCTAACTTTTAAACTGTTTGTTTCCATAGTCTTTTGTATTGCTCGTGACTTTAAGGTTTTACAGTTTGAAATAGTTTTTAACATCATGAAACACTGGTGATATATCATTTCTTTATTACCTTCCCAAATATGCCTTTTATTTTTATGTACAAGGCTCTTGGGAATGATTCTCTCAGAGGCTTAAGCTGTGCTTTGCCTTCCATGAGAACTGAAATTATTTGGTAAGCGCTTGCTTTCTTTTTAGCTTCTAATTTTTCCCTATTTTATTTTGTACATGATATTTGTTTCAAGGTCAAAGGTTCCGTTACAGTTACTATGATGAATCCCAGGGGGAGATTTATAGATCCATTGAACATCTAGATAAAATGGTAAGTCCTTCAGGTGTGGGGTTTTACTGCTCTAAGATTTTTTCTTTAATTTCAGATTAGTGATTCAAGACTTAATATGTTAAAATATACAATGGGCTAATAATTCTTTCCCT